TTGAAATATCTAAATATCTCTCACGTGATGGGGTGATGAATGCACTAGAAGTGCCTATAGTTTGACATCAACAATCAATTTTTTTTCCTCCTTCTTCTCTCTCCTCAGCTTTAGCATTGACCTCTTCAATTTCTTTTTCCTTCACATTTGGTCTCTAATCTTTTGATTAATATATTTTTATTTTTGAATAAACTATAAAATTACAAATATTTTTTAATTTCACTCCCTATTATTTTTTATCTATAAATAATCTATCAAATTACAAATATTTTTTAATTTCAACCAGTTGTTATTTTTTAATCTTTCAAATTTCTTCTATATTTTAATTGGTATTTATTTTGGTTTTTTATCATTAAATAAAAAAATTCTTTAAATTTTATCCTCCTTGAGTTTTTTTTATCAAATTTTATCCTTATTCTTTTGCTGCATTTTGTTTTTTTTTGCTTTTGTAAGTTTTTTTACTAATTAGTTTTCAAGATTTCATCCTTCAAAATTAAATTAATTAAGAATTAAGTTTATTAATTGAACCTAGGTTTAGAATTTCATAGGTTGCAAATTTTAGAGATTAAATTAGGTTTACGAGGTTTACCCGGGTTTGCATGATTGTTTTTTTTCTTATACTAATGTTTTCTTATTTTTATCTTTTTTTTTTATGTTTTGCTTTTTTTTTATTTTTCTTCTTTTAGGTTAGCCTCCAATTATTATTTTTCAATTTCATCCCTAATAGTTTTTAATCTATAAATAATCTAGTAAATTAAAAATATTTTCAATTTCACTTCTTGATGAGTTTTTTTGTCTTTCAAAGTTGGTCCTTATTATTTGTATTGCTATTTATTTTTTTAGGCCATTTTTATATTTTTTTTCAAATTTTATCCTCATTCTTTTTGTTTCTTATGCTATTTTTTAATTAATATTTTTTCAATGATTTAATCCTACAAAATTAAATTGGTTAAGAATTAAGTTTCTTAATTGAAGCTGAATCTAGGATTTTATAGGCTGTGAGTTTTAGAGATTAGATAAAATTTAGGAGGTTTATCAGAGTTTACTTAATTTTTCTTATTTTGTTTTAAGTGGTGTTTTTTTATATATCCTTTCTTGTTTTGAGTTTTTGTATTTTATTTTATATGGTTTGCCTTCTATTGGGTCAACCCTAGGTTTATTACCAAGATCATCTGTTTCAAAGGTTCATGCATGTTCACTTTTTTCTATAGGGTTTTAGAGTTTACCCGATTTAATATGATTTTTTTTAATTTTTTTTTATATAATTTCACCATTCAACATTAAGTTGTTTTACAATCTGGATAGACTCATATCTAGTTTATTTACCCTTTTATTTTTATTTTTATTTTTTATCAATTTATTTATTATTGTTGCATTTTTTTTTGTTATTTTTTTTTATTGAATTAGCTATGGGTTCATGACTAGGATCACCAATTTTAAAGGTTAATATGGGTTTATTTTTTTAAATAGTTTTATTTTAATTTAATCCTTCAAATTTTTTTTACTATTTTTTTTTCTATGAGGTTATCCCAATATCATGCTTATAGTCTTGAGATTTTTGAGTTTATCCAATTTAATATGGTTTTTTTAAATTGTTTTTTTATATAGTTTTATTATTCAATATTGGGTTATTTGATAATCCAAATAGACTCAGATCTAGTTTATTTTATCTTTTTTTGGTTGTTATTTTTTATCATTTTATTTATTGTTATTGCATTTATTCTTTCATTTTATTTAAATTACCAATAGGACTAATGACTCAGGTCTTGGATTTTTTACCCTAGTATTTGTTTTTACTTAAAAAAAATTTGGCCCACGATAGAGTGCAGACAATAGATCTATTTTAGTTCTATATCTTGTATGATCTTTAGTGATAAATAGATTTGTTACCTGTGTTTCACCGTGAGTAGATTAATTTTTTTTTTCAAAGCAAAATAAAATGTTACAATAAAAATAATCCAAGTCCTAAGTTATTGGATCAAGTGGTTATTCACAACATGAAAAAAAAAAATGTAACAACATTAAATAAAATAAAATAAAAAACAACAAAGAAAAAAAGGTCAAAGGAACAAACATGAGTCTATTTGAATTATCAAACAACCTAATGTTAATCTAATAAAAGGCAAACTGTATGAAATAATGAAGCAAAACTAAAAAGAAAAAAAGAAAAGAAAACATAAGCTTTTTTTTTTAAATAAGCAAAATCAGATGAACCTCTTAAACCTGATGCAATCTAAAAAACTTGCAACTCGTTAAATCCTAGAATCGGCTTTAATCAAGAAACTTAACTCTTAATTAATTTAATTTTGAATGATGAAATCATTAAAAAATAACTTGCAAAATAAAATAAAAATAACAATAAAAAGAATGAGAATAAGATTTCAGAGAGAAAAAAAACCAAAGGAGGGTGAAATTTGGAAAAAAAATTAAAAATAAATTCAAACAAAATAAATCACAATTAAAAGAATTAAATTTTTTTTGAAACATTAAAAAATTTATGGGATAAAATAATTTTTTTTTTGTATTTTGATAACTTATTTATAGATTAAAAAACTATAGTGGTGAAATTGAAAAAAAAAAAACTATAAAGGACTAGTTGATTAGAATTAAACCACAAATAAATAAATAAATGACAAAAAATAAGAAAACATTAACTTAAAAAAAAATTAAGTAAACTCCTAAATAGGGTTTAATATCTAAAACCTATAATTGTGAAATCTCATACTTGTGTTCAATTAAGAAGTTTAAATTTTAACAAATTTAATTTTGAAAGATAAAATAACAAAAAAAATATTAATAAAAAAACCTACAAAAGAAAAACAAACAAAAAAAACAATAGCGATAAAATTTCATAGAAAAAAACTCATGAAAGATGAAATTTGTTAAAAAAATTTTAAAAAATGATCTATAACAAAATAAATAGCAACTAAAACAATGAGGATCAAATTTAAATGATAAAAAAAGTTATAAAATTCAAAATTTTAAAAATAAATTTGAAATTCAATAGATTATTTATAGATTAAAAAATAGTAGGAGAATGAAATTAAAAAAACACTTGTAATTTCATGACTTATTATAAAATAATAATAAAAATAATAAAAAAGATACAAACCAAATGTAAAGGAAAAATAAATGGTAGAGATTGCTATAAAATTTTATATGGATGGAGCTAATTCGAGGTAGAAAAAGAAAAGAAGGAAAAATAAAAATGATTTCTAGCACTAAACCGCGGTGTTTTCCTACATGTGCCACACCATAATAAAAACGGTGTTAAGATCTTCCAAACACTACTCTAAAAAATTATTTTTGATGGCATGATGGAGTGAAGGTTTTTTTTAAAAAAATAATATATAATAATGAAAACAACAAATTAGAGAAATTTTAATATCTACAACAAAACCAATAAAAAAAATATCCACAACACCTTTATAAAAGAATTTTAATTGTTTTATTTCCAACTATATCAAAGTAATTGTCATATACCTAATAAAAGGAAAGTGCATAAACACCCTTAGCCTAAAGCGTATAAATTTTTTAATCCAAGGCTATAGTGGTGATTTTACTGTACATAACAAATGACAAATCTGAACTTATATAATATGATAAAAACAACTATATTATCATAAAAATATATTCTTACCCACAAGCCCATGGGTTTTTCTTGCAAGGCCAATATCACACCTTTACTGTTATAATAAATAGTTATTTGTGTACTAGAGCCAAATAAAATCTTATATTTTTATTTGGTTTAGTTCAGTTTTAAATTTAAAAAAATAATCAAATATAATATAATTATTTTTTTAAAATTCAAGTTAAAACTAAACCCGTTCAAACAAACTACTTTCAGTTTGGTCGATTCAGTTTATATTGATAAAAAACCAAAATACACCTTATCAGTCACTTGGAAGATCCCGGCAGCACAAGTGGTGGGTATTCGGATCCTACGGCCATGACCTTCCACTTTTGTTCGGCGGTCTTTGATGGATAAGCGGCTTGTTGTTGTTGTCGTAGTGACTTGCAGAGGCATCTGCATCTGCATCTAAGTGGCTAGCGAGATTACACCCATTTTTTGAGGGATTCTTTTTACCAGGTCAGAAAAGGAGTCGGAGTCAAATAGTTCTTGTTTTAGTGGGCATGACTTGAAACGCTTCTGTTTCACCAATTTTATGTGTTGTTTTTGTTGTTTTCTGGGTAAAAAAACGCTTATGCTAAGATCAGAAGTGCCACCATCATCTACATCCATTTCATATTGTTCTTGAAATAATGTCATTTCGGGAGGGTCCAGTGGATAAAAAGAGCACTTGTGGTTTTTGGTCGGGAGATTGATTAGGGCCTGGCCTTTTGAACTCTTTGGAACCGGTTTGTTCTGTCCAGTTTTTTCAATTTCAGTTCTTTAAAGGTAAAATCGAATTGAACCGAATTATTTTAAAAAAATTTAATCTTTTTTTTTTTCAGTTTAATCAGTTTTAAAGTTTCTTCTTCTTTTTCACCCCTAGACAGCAGAACAATCATAATGAGCAAAATGCAATAATATGAAGTATGAACCACATGAATGAAAAATAAAATATTGAAGAACATGATTCTTTCATCACGAGTAAGCGAACATGATTCTTTATCACTAGCACGCAGAATCACTGTCGACAAGCAGAGGTAACTTAGTGGTAATCATCCCACATCCAGAAAGGCACTCCAGCTTAAAGCCCTCCCTCCTCCCCAGCTTAAAACATATATATATATATATGAAATGGGCAAGAGGCACTGCCGATGCATACAAAGACACTTACCATGATCCATAAAAATATTGATTGCTAATTACTCGAGGGTTCCTTGACAAAACAAAGCTTGTCAACAAGAAGCAAGTGGCTGAAGGCTAATTTTTTGGCCCTATACAAGATTAGACTATCATACCTAGAGCGGAACCCACGAAGAAAATTTTCTTTTTTTAATTCTATAACAGGATGGTCATTATCCTGATCTCTGCACCTTCTTTTTTATCCAATAGCTTTTTCTTGGTTACAACCCTTCTTGAATGCGTCGTGCTTGCTTTCAGATATATTGACTACTTGTGGAGGATAAAGCATGAGCGTCAAACTGAGGCATAACACTGACCTTAAGGCAGGCAGTAGATACCCAGCTTGCCTGACTTGGTGGTGGTGAACTGCCCAGAGGGTTTTTTTTTCCATTTAGGATGGGGGGCAGGCATCAAGTGGTAGATCCCGGGTGACCTGCACTGAGGAAAACCAAAATGATGCTCAGCATATCAGAAAGCTTGTACTCAAAAACAATCCAAGCTAATAATAACATATGCATAGATAAGAAAAACAGTTGTGGTGAGAATGTCAAAAGTTCATAAATAGCTGACTCCATAGATTCATATAATCTAGAAGTTCCATCAGGAAACTTCATCTCATCTCAATACACTACCTCTTCCTCTCCTTCTCTGTCTCTCTCTCATTTCTGTTCATCATGTCCTAGATAACTACAGTTGGAAATAAAAAATCTCAATCCTCAAATATATATATGTGCAACACGAAAACTAGCTCTTGTTGCCGGTTTAAACAAATGCAGGTTAGTGGTTTATATTACTGAAATCACTATATGACAAAATAATTACTGAACCATTAACAGAAAAATCAATCCCGTTTGATTTGCAAAACAATGATGCAAATTCACAATTCAAAAGAAACAGAAAGTTGTAAAGACATATAAACTGGTAGTGGCACTCACATTAAAATCAAGTTCATGGTCATATACAAAGTGCACCCATGTCAGGCAGCCAACCATCAGATCCACTGGATGGCACGGATTCAGCATGTCCTTTCTTGTTGTGCTTTGTTTCTTTTCTACCTTTTCTAAAGTCTACTTTTCGGTCACTGACACAACAAATATGCTGTGTTAGATAACAAACTTTCAGTTGGGGTGATGGGAGCATGATTAAACTTCAGTGATAACTGAGTAAACAAAAACAAAACAATCACAGAATTTTGTGCAACAATCAATTAAGTATGTCAACTAGGCCAAACACATTTCTTAGTTATGAGAGACATCATAGTGAAGAGAAGTACTTGAGAAACTTCCTTTCTGTTTTTTGTGTCTAAAAATTCCATCTTCACCAATAAAAGCAATATCTTATTAGCTTTTACACACAGAGAGGGTCTGGAGTTCAAGAAGCATACGCAATCTTAGTAGACAATCTTCCCTTCACAGCTCCACAATAAGCCTTGTGTTTCTTTTTGGATCCACAGGGACAGTCTTTGTTTCTTGGAATCTTCTGCGGTCACACAACGACAATAAAATAATGTTCATAGTAATGACAACAAGAATGAGAATGAGGAACACAAAGATTGACTATGATAGTAATAAAATTAATGAATAAATGACAGGCACCAACAGACTCCAATTTCAAGGAAGAATCGACCAAAGGGTTCTGTATTACTATATAGAAAACCTTGCCATTTTCTCTGGAACTGCTATCATCGTGGGTTTGTTTGGTGCGATTATTGGATGAAACTTGTTCATTGGTCTTTGTTACAGGCTCGTCCTTGTATTGTTGACAGTTGCCGTCTGCACCATCTCCTTGACATTCTAAGAATTATGAAGATTGGATAAGAAAATGTAAAAACAACACTGAATATCTTGAAAAGCAAGACCAGTATGTACTAAGATGACTGACATAGAAAGGTCTTTCAACAAATTTTTTAGATGAAATTGAGAGTACAGTATTCATAATAGACACAAGTACATGCAGGCATACACAAGCAACAAATAGAACAATTTTTTCTTCTAAATCCTGGGATTATATCAACCCCCAAAACAACTGATTTTAATGCAAGCACAGACTGGCATTCAATTAAAGCTGAAATTCTAGGGAAAGTGTGCCAAGTCATTGATACCAACACAAATAATATTTCTCCTTCAACAACAGCCTCGGCTTTAAGAAATCTTGATTGTGAAAAATATAAAGAAAAAGAGAGAACTGATTCTGCAGATCAAAGCATAAATTAAAAAAAGATGAATCATCTTCCCATTCCTTGTAGAATTTGACCCCTAAGGAAGGACTCCTTATGAAACCATGCTATGTTCGTTTGACTAAATGATAAGGCATTCAGAGGTCAGAGCCAACTTTCTGAAGTGTTTACAGAACCATTAAATACTCTTGAGGAAATCATTTCCATGAAAACATTTTGCTTATCAGAGAAAATCATCACTTCATTTCTTCAAGGAAGATCACACAAATAGTTCCATAACTGGATGAAATCTCAGAACATGGAAAGTGATAGCTAACAGCAGCCAACATAAGATTATTTGACATGCAACAAAAACAATGAAAGACTTTACCATCAGAAATATTCGTGTCAGAACAAAGGGAATTATTTTCTGCTGAAAAGGAATCTGTTTCTTGCTCCGCTATTAAAAACTCTATTGCAGCATCAACATCACCATCAACTTCTAGTAAAACCTAGCAAGAGATTAACAGCAGTATTGGGACATTATTTTTTATAAAACAATTCATATAGCAGGAGACTATTTCTACCTGTTTGACTTTCTCAGCATTTTCACAACCACTTCCTGCCATGACCAATTTAAGGGATCCTGCATCAAAACTGTCCTTTGCAATTCCTGCTTTAATGCTAGACACAGCTTTTGCTTGAACAGATGTTGCTGAAAGATCAGCATCAACCTTTCACAAACTAGAAGTGATCAGGATATTGTTACCAATTACGGGTTAAAAGTAGATGACATAAATTTATAAGAAAGACATAACTGCTAAGGATCATAGAAGATCTAGAGAAAAACCTTGATTATAATTGGCTGAGCTGGCCCATTACAAGGGTCATCCTTTGACCGCACGCTATTGTAATGTTCCTCATCATGATAAGATCTGAAGAAATGTAGGAATATCAAATTGGATAACTGAAACATTACTCCTATTATCAAATCTAGCACTCTTAAGAAAAATCTTAGCAATTGAAAACCAGTGGTCATACACAAAATAGAAATAATCAAGGTATAGTCCCAACTGCAAGGGATAGATACGTAGTTAGTTATCCATCCATCAAATGCACATACAGAAATCATATGAGTATAGCGGGCATTCATTAATTTTGGTGATTCTCCACTTCTATAAGGCCCAAACACATGCAATGGAAAAGACTGCTACAAACATCATAGATATTCAAGAATACTTACAAATGGACCATACGAGCTCCATGTTGATCAAAATTTCGGATGTACCAACGTGGTGACATGTACTGTATCGAGTAAATAATGAGCATATATGAGTCCAAGAACTTCTTGAAGCATATCAAGTAAACAAGTGTGTGTGTGTGTGTCTGTCATTGTGCCCATGAGTGCAGGGGAGAACATCCGTGTGCATTTCATTCTTATGTTTTCTTTGTGCGTGTGGTTTATATGTCTGTCCATTTATTCAGTTCACTTTTTACATATATTGCATATGTGCAAAGATAAATTGGATTGGTATATCAGTTATATAATCTTCCACTGGATAGTGTAGTGTGCTTCATGCTTCCATAAGTACAATTTGAAACTGAAAGTAGACAATCCAAATCAGCTTGTAGTAATGTTGTAGCAGTTTTACGAGTCACTAGACTAGTTTTTATGACTTGACCTCACAATCAATCTAGAATCTCTTCAATACCATTTTCGACATCAAAAGAATAGCTTTGAGGGTAATAACCAATGGAAACGCCCAAAGGAAAAACAAACTAATTCCATTAGTATGGAAACAAGTACACAAATGAAAGCTGTACGAAAAGTAGAATCTCACCCGGTGAACACATATATTACTATGTGTAACAAGAGAAGCTGCTTGTAATTCCATATGTCCAGCCCATGTGCCATCCTTTTCCATCAATTGGCAGTATTCATCAAATGGGACATCATCCTCGATAAAGGGTTCAAACATTTCACGAGTGTTCTGTAAGCACAGCTCCGGTATCAGATTGGTTTGCAGTTTAGTATTTATCAAATAACATACAAATACATGTAGCACATACAAGCACACAAGCAGGCAAGCACACACGCACAGATGGAGAGGGACAGGGAGAGGTAAAAAATCAAATCAGTTGCTTGCTAATATACACAAATATTCCTCACATATCTTGTATGGCTAGTAATATAGCTATAACATAATCAAAGAGAAATTTCACATTGATATGCAACAGGAATGCATTGACAGTTGATAGAAAGCAAATTCATAACACAATTGATACAAACATCGGTTTCTTTTTCAATCCACATAAAAAGTTTCTTTAACAATAGGCATTTACCATTATATACTGGACCACCATACTGCGATACTTTCCATGTTCCTCCTCATTACCTTCAAGCTGATCTGCAAGTCCCCTGCAAACAAACAAGAGTAAAAACCTTAAGCAAGACTAAAGAGCAGCTCCAAAATACATCAATAATTCTTTCCCCAGGTTACATTAGAATGAGATTATTCTGCAAAACAGATCAAAATTCCAAAACATGTGCTTATGATGTAACCCACCAATATATCATAATAAAGTACACAATACGCAACAAACAGCAATCCATAAACACAGACCTGAAAAAACAATTACCATCTGCAGTCACTTCGATAATTTTTAGGCCCAATGCATCAAGCTGAGTGCGAAACTGCACGATATTGGCCTGCTTTCCCTGTTTTTTCACCTGCAAATCATACAAATTTCACTTGATCACCTCCCACATAACATCAAAGGCAACAAAAAAATTTAACATGCCTGGATCTAAGTGGCTAAATAGAAACAATTTATCACTTCATCACCTAAAACGCAGCAAAAACTACATGGGGCAGACTAAATTAACCTTTTTCACCACTAATCAAGTACAGTGTCAAATTTGCAACTGTTTTTTTAATCAAAAGATAACCTTGTTACTTTCATATACTTAATCAAATTTTAATATTGTATTAAATGATTTTGAACACCAAAAAAAAACCACCATCCCATATAAATAGTAACAAAAAAGAGAAACTTCACATATAGTATAGCATTGAATAAAAATCCGAGACAGTAAGGATGGAAAAGGATAAAATTTGAATATTAAAAAAATAAAATCAATATAAAACAGTAATTTGTGGGGGAGAGAGACTTACATGGGGAGTTTTCTTGGGTTTGGACTTCTGCTGTTTGGTTTTTACCATTGCTTAAGATTTGATTGCTTTGTTTAAATATAGCTGTCTTCTTTGGGTCGCCTGGACAAGACACGAGCGATGGAGGAAGAAGACCGAGAGAGCAAGAGGTTGTCTTCTTTGTGTCGCTTGGACGAGACACGACGAGCACCTGTCTGTACCTTAGTTGTTTTTGTTTTTTTTGTTTATTCACACTTCAGTCTTAGTCTAGCCCATTAAAATGATGGGCTACCTTGAGGTCTATACAGTAAAGAGTCTGGTTAGAAAGTTGATCTGAAGAACAATTATTTTATATTAAAATAATAATTTTTTATTTTTTAAAATTATTTTTAATATTAACATATTAAAATAATCTGAAAATATTAAAAAAATATTATTGTAAAAAATAAAAATAAAAATAAAATTATTTTAAAAACACTTTTAAAAATAAAAAAACAAACATGTATTGCATTTCAAATTATTAGGTAAACCTCTTTAAAAGAATTTTAATTTTAATTTATTTTAACATTAGGATATAAAAATAATTTTTAAAAAATAAAAATTATATTATTTTAATATATTTTCAAATAAAAAATATTTTAAAAAATAACAATATGTCTCGTATCTTGTATAATTCAAGAAATTAATGAAGGTATTAAAAACCTTGACTCAATAACTTCAAAGTCTATTATCAAATAAAACAGACTCAGGACAAGTAAATTTGATTTTTAATGTTATGAAGGCAAAGGAGAAAGATGTTCTTATAGGTTTGGATTTGAATGATGTGCCTAATTCTAATAAGAAATATTTAAACTTATATTTAATATAACTTTTACAAGTTGATTTTAAATTTTGACTAATTTGATTAAAATAATTATAAATATGTTTTAGAAATAAGTTTTAATTTCACTATAAGTTTTTTATAAAATTGATTCAAATATTCTAATTTAATAAAAGATTTCAAATTTTTAACTTTTAAATTATTATTTAAATTCATTTTTATGTAATTTATGAGAAGTAATTTTTTACTTTGAATTATGGTTCAAAACTTTTTTTTAAAAATAATTTATGAAAAAATAGTTTTAAGTTGGAAATATTTTAGGTAAAAATAACTCAAATCAAGTTTTATAAAAAAATAAAAATAAAAAAGACATTTAGTATGAGTAGAATGTATAAATTATTTTTTTTTAAAAAAAATCTATTTGCAAAATCATACGAAACGGAATCTAATACTGTATTCATTCTAAAATAATTGATTTAAATTATTTTTATCAAATATATTTCTAAATAAATTTATTTTAACTCATTTTTTTCTTAAATTATTTATGAAAATAACTTTTATTCTATGATTTAAAGTTAAAAGTTATAGTTCAAAGATCTTATTAAACGGATTTGATTCACAGTATAAAGTTGACATAGATTATCTTAATTGTTAAAAAAATAGGTTTAATTATTAATTTGCAAGAGATTATTTGTTGGTAATGATGATTGTAGATTTTACTTTTATTTCTTTTTTGTTATAATCACTTTTTCTGCCATTAATTCCCTGAAATATCGATTATTTCACTTTTCACTGAAAATTTGAAAATGGTTGCAATGGGATCAGTAGATTTGGAGTTTCCAAAGCAAAAATGCGCCAACTTCACCGTTTGTTAGAATTTTATTTAAAATTATTTATTTAATGAACAAATTTGATATCAAATTAAAAGTAACATCCAATCATTTTTAGGGTTAAACTTTATAATTTAATTTTTAACATAAACTTTTTAATATGAAACATTAATATAATTTAAATAAATTATAAATTAATAAAAAATTAATCTTAAAAAAACTTTTAGTTGACATGATTTGATAAAACTCAAAACTCTATAAAAAAAACCTTTATCTCATATAAGATAATCAAAAAAATAAATTTTTTTGGTGTTTATACAATGAAAAATTAAGAAGTTAAAATTGTGCATATAAGACATCTAAGCTTTTAGAGTTAAAGAGATCCTAAAAATAGTGAGTTTTTAAATTAAATTAACAAGCGTGTGATTTGACCCAACTCAGGCTTTAGGTAAGGTCTGGGTTTGGATTTATTATAAAATAAATTTTTAGGCTATAAAAAATTATGTTTTATCAATTTAACTTTGAATTTGGCCTAGTACATGAAGAATTATTTTCTTCAACCCATTTTTTATCCCATATAATAAATCTGATCAACTTTTTTTATTTTTTTCCAAAACTAACTCTTTATAACTTAGATAATTTTTCATCTTTTTAAAACAAAAAAAATATCAGTTTTAATTTTAGTTTTATAAAAGGTAATCAAAGTTGTTAGTGACAGGAATTCCATCAATTTTCGTTCCTAAAATTCTCTATAAAATGAAAATGAAGAAGAGTCTTTCAAGTTAGTTATTTCTACAACTCTGCCCCTTTGAAACGTTATAAAATTTAGTGTGAAAAAGGGCAACTCGATTATCTCGAGCAAAGTGTAAAACCATGGTGAAGGGTGGAGATTAGCCCAAAGGGACCAATGGTTATGATCATACCATAAAGACGAGTTTCAAAACCTTCACCCTTGTCTATAAATAGAGAAACAAGGAAAAAAAGCAAACAATCCAAACTAGAGAGAGAAAATACCAAGTTAGAGAGAGAAAGAAGAAAAGGATAGTTTTTTAGCTAGAAATGAAGGCATTTTGAGAGAACCCTTGTTGAGTTAATGTTTGGTATCATTGGATTATTAAGTTGATGAGTAATAAATAAATAGTTTGTATCGTGGTTAAAATAAATAGCTTGATTAAAAGCATTTTTAGGTTTTGCATATGTTAATTTGATAAGAAAAGTAATCAAGAATTAAGAAATGCACATGTTAATGGCTGAAATGCTTAAAAAAACATTTTTTTTAGGCTTTTTTTCAAAAAAATTTAATCTTTTGAAAAGACATTAAAAATTACTAAATGAGTGCAATGACTTAAAAAAACTCTTTAGTTGTATTACTAAATGAGTGCAATGACTTAAAAAACTCTTTATTGAAAAATGTTAACTTAAATAGAGTTTTCTCACCAAATTTTAGCAAAACACAACTATAATTCATTTGAATGTTGGCTTTATAACTCAAAATCACACTAAAATTCCTCTGCAGTGAGTAGAAAAGAAAAAAAATGATTTTTATGTTAGTTTAATAGCTGGCTTACAAGTCCCAATATGTTGAACACTTGCCTAAAATTATAAAGACTAAGATAGAAAGAAGATAAAAAAAAGAAATGTAATTGTTTTGATTTTATAAAAGTGATAAAGTAAGAGCACTTGCAAACATTATATAAGTACGCTCACCATTAATGGTGGCCTTTAATCTCTTGATACATAACAATTTTTTATTTGTTAATTTCAAAATTTTAAAGTTCTAAATCTTTTAAGATTTTCCTCGTGTGGTTGTCATAATTGTTCTTGGGGAGATGAAATGATGTAACATATATCTACACTTGGAATTGACATGGATACAACATAAAGTCTTTGTTTCATGACATTTTGGGACAATTGATTAGATATAAGATTTGCCCTATCCATTACCTAGCTAACCTAAACAAATTTACCATTAGCTTTAGTACATTGACCATCTAGTCAAGCTTTATTATTTCTTATGTTTTTAAAATATACATTCAATATTAATAAAAAGGCATGTAAATTAACATATAAAAACTTATAAATCAATCACTCTTAGTTGATCTAATAAATACTACATTGTTCTCTAAATTTATAATTAATGATTGGTGTTGCAACATTCAATAAAGAGTAATTGAAGTAGATGAGCTTGAGAAATGAGTTTCATGTTTTCATGTTATTAATTACTATACCTTCTTATTAATATGAGATGAATATTTGTAAAACATAATTATCAATAAAGCTTAATTAGATGCTAAATGCATTGAAAATCATGAAGTCGTTATATACTCAAGGTAATTTATAAAAAAGTCACAAAATAAGAACTAGAAAGCTTATTATTTTATAATAGGGATTTGTCTTTGCTGGAAAAAAATAAGTAACATAACATGCTAACATATTTGGTTAGGTTATAAATTACATTACAAAATGCAAATGCTTTAGCATATCAAGGAAATTCAAATAAAAAAAGTTTAGTTAATACCAAATAAGAAAATTTTTATCATGTTCAATACAATATTGGACTACTTGCAATACTCTAAATGGATTTACTATTTGTATAGGTTTAATTATGATGAAGTTTAAGGTAGATTGCATTGGATTTAGACTTTTTTAACAAAAAAAAAAAACAAGGTTAAAAAGTTGAAGAAGAAACATTGCATTGGTCATGACACCTACAAAACATGTTCTATATAGAGCTTTGGGGACCCTTTGATTCTTAGGTTTGTTAAGTTGTATGACGGATATAACTTTAAAGATTGTGTTTTGTATGTAATAAAGTATAATAAAGAAGATGATAAATATAGGTGCTTAGAGAATGAGAATATTTATGTATGCAGGGAATGAAAGAATTAAATTTTTTACCTAATATTTCATGGGTCTTTTAAAACTCATTAAACACACCAATGTGCATGATGAATGGGGCATATATAGAAAAACACTATTTGACCTAGTTTAGAGGCAATTATTTAAGTTAATCAACTCTACTAGTTGATAGTTACATTGTTTATTAAGAAAATATGGTGTTAAATGGGTCATACTCTAGCATTGACATGCCTTAACATTATTCTATAGACCTAACTATGATAAGAAGGGTCCTATTAACATTTAGAGCTAAGTACCAACAATATAGAGGGTATGTAAAGAAACATAGGTTAGGCAATCCTCTTATTAGATTCAAGCTTGTCCATCTGAGAGACGCCCTAAGCTCAAATGGTGGTTTGCATATAGTAAGTTGATGCAATCATATTATTTGATAGTTTTATCTATAATGGTGATTTGCATATAGTAAGTTGATGCAATCATATTATTTGATAGTTTTATCTATATATACCTAGTATTTTGCCTATATTTTATATATAAAATGTCTTGATATTCTTTATTTTATGTTTTGAAGGCACTTTTGGATGTAAGATTCAAAAAGAAGTAAATTGAAGATAATTGGTAGATTTGACTCCGATCGATGTTTTGTGCAAGACTTGAGCTCTACAGATCAAAATGAAATCATTCTAATGTTATTAGAAAGCTAATACCCATACCTTTATATACATATATGGCAAGGAAAAAAAAAAGCATGAAAATCATAGCCTTCAAAATCAAACCTTACATTCTGCCAATGTTGAGCTTTGATCATTCCAACTTGAATATCTTGAATTAGAGAAATCCATTTGATGCAAACTTAATTATTTTGGATTTTTAACTCGAAGAACTATCAACATACCAAATTTCAGTAAAAAACAAGCTTATATGAGGGAGATATGATTTTTCTAAGTCAACATATAAATCTTGTCAATGGACAGGTTTTGTGAAGAAACAAGTCCAAATTACATCCCAAAGCATCCAAACCGACATCCAAGCCTTTATTCGACAATTTAACCCCTCTAAGTCAAAAGTCAAAATTTGAAGATTTTATACAAGACTATTTTTTTTTAGAAAAATAATTATTGTAACACTTAAGTATAAATTGTCTATTTAAAAAATGACTATTTTGTAGGAAAGAGATATTAGAGTTTTGTATCAAATAAAAAGAAAGAGAAAAAGAAAAAGGGAACAACCAGCAAGAGAAGAAGAACACCCCTTTCCTCCACAAACCCAAAATCATGCATTCTTCTTTCTTTTTGATTAGTTGTTCAATAGACATACAAAGCTAAACTCTTTTTCTTGGTTGCAAGGACACAAAAATCTTCAGATTTCAAGAATTGTGAAATTTATTTTACCTTTTCCTTTCAGTTTATATGATAAATGAATATGTTTATTCTCTTATACTTATTTTCTATGGTTGTTTATTTTAATTGCTAGAGCGGACTTTAAATTATTATTGTGAATAATCTATTGCTAAGTTTGCTATCAAAATCGAAGATTAATAATTATGGCAATCCAGATTAGTAATCTTAGGGAGAATGTTCGATCAATTAAATCAAATATAGACTGCAGACAGTTATGTTGTTTATATTAATCAACTCATCTAGTTCTTAAGGTTGCCATTAAATTAAATTACTAGTACGGATACTGTAGTTGTTTGATGGTTAGGATTAATTATAAAATGAATATGTTAACTAATCAATATAAGAAAAGATAAATATTTAGAGTATAAAGTAATGTTTCATTTCCATGATCAGTTCTGATTTCTATAGATAGATGTTTACTTGCAACCAAAGTTTGTTTTTCTTGATAAATTTTGATTTTTTTATTTAGCATTGATTGCTTCTTTCTCTTTACTATAACTTAGCATAAATAACTTCACAACCCCCCAGTTGTATATCATACAACATAAAAATTTAAATTGAATCTTCTTCATGGGATCGACCCTTCCTTGCTTTATACTATCTTGTTTATTTAAACTAAGATAATTAATTTGTGTAACCTTGACATCACAACAAATATGGGTTGGGCAATCCTATCATTAAATTCAATCTTGTCCATTTGAGAGACACCCAAAGCTTAAATGGTGGTTTATATGTAATGAGTTACCCTAAACTTAAATGGTGGTTTACATGTAATGAGTTAATTAGACCAATTTGAAGATTGTGTCAATTGGATCAACCCGAATCCTTGGAGATTAGGTTAGTTAAGTTAACTAAAATTTTTAGAGATCATGTTAACTGAGTCTGTTAGGTTTCTTAAAAATTATGCATCTTTTATAATACTTGTTCCTAAAAGAAGAAGCGAATTCTTAAGATGGAGTGTTTGAATAGGAGTTGTGGCCCTTCAAGTTTTGAGCAAGTAATCTTGATTTGTTTTGCCTCTTATTTAATACCTAGAATTGAGCATTCGAACTATGATTTCCCATATCAATCACCTGGATATCGTGAACAAATCTACATGAATTTCAGTACATTGAGCATCCAATCAAACTTTATTATTATTTGTATTTTACAGATATGGATCTAAGGGATGGGCATTAGCATTCAAAAACTCATCTATCAAGCTATCTACCTTAATCTCTTTGTTGAATACGCACTTCTAACCTAGAGAATTACCAAGGCATTTGGTGTAATCGGCAAAGCTTCTGAATGTTCTTCCTGTTATTTAAAACTTCTCATCTAACAACATGAATTAACTTGTGGGGATTGATATGATAAAAGGAGGCCCTTAGAGCTCATTCCTAACACGTGGGGATCATCTGGAATCATTAATTCTTAGTTGAGATACATTGTATCTGAGTAATCATCAATTGGGAACGAATTAGAACTCAGGTTCTGCATAACTGGGAGTGCTGAATATGATGAAACACCTGTTCTGGTGTTGTCCTCATGTGCCTCTCTATGCACTACAGTCTGCTAAAGTTGCATTGCATATTCTAAATCCCAACACACATCAATCATATTAGGCATGTCTGCTCCTTCTGGCTTCAAACACTTCTCAACTATTTCACTAAATTTTCTTAGCGAATTAGGGTTGATGTGACCTACCAATAAAGGATCAATAATTTTTTCAAGCTGCCCTTCCTTTAGCCAAAACATCCCCCATTCAGCTAAGTTTGCTTCCTCCCTCCACTGTGAGTTTACAATCGGGGGTCGAGCATAAAGCACTTCAAGAAAGACCACACCAAAAGAGTACACATCTGACTTGTTGGTTAACTGAAAAGTTTTGAAATATTCAGGGTCAAGATAACCAAAACTACCTTTTAAACCCATGCTTATATTGTCCGGATCAGGCATTCCTGATTGGGAAAAACCAAAATCAGCTACTTTGGCCACATAATGTTCATCAAGTAAGATGTTTGTTGACTTAACATCACGGTGAAATATTCCTCCATCTGGACCAGTGTGCAGGTAATGGACACCTTTTGCCAAGCCAATACAGATTTCAAGCCTTTGTTTCAAAGTCAATTCAGTTTTTTCAGATGGATTCCGTAAGCACTCCTTCCTATTATATAAGTGGTCTCTCAAAGTCCCTTTTTCCATGAATTCAAAAACCAATATCATCTCCGATCCTTCATCGCAGTAGCCAACCAAGGAAACAAGATGCCGATGTTGAATCTCTGAAAGGACCATGATCTTATTGCATGGAGTCGATCCATGTTAATTGCCTTGACAATGAAAAATAAAATTATGTTTGTTAATAGTTCTCTAGCTCAGCCTATCACCACTAATCAATCCTTTCGTGTTGCCTGGCTAAGATTTAACAATCTTGCTCTTCTTGGCTAATAAATTCAATTACCAAGGATATCCTTGGTAGTCTTCTTTACTTTACAATAGCTTTCGATATTTGTGGGAAAAACCAAGAATTAAATATCTTAGAAGTGATGGACCAAGGGTTTTCTATTTGAAGAAATCTTTAAGTTCTATTTCTTAGAACTCCAAATCTATTACCGAGTATTTCAGTGAATTAAAGACTTTATGGGATGAATACATCAATTATCGTCTAATTTCCAGTTGCAAATATGGAAATCTTGATCTTTGCTCATGTAATATTCTGAAGTATTTGACAAACAATCAAAATATATTATGAAATTTCTTATAGGTCTTCAAGATTCTTATTATGCAATCATGAGTCAACTATTGTTTCAATCTCCTTTACTATCTATGCCTATCTATGCGTAGAGTTTTTTCCTTACTTTTGCAAGAAGAGAGTTAAAGATCTTTGACAAATTAAGTTGGTATTTTTTTTAATTCACAAGCGATGCTTACTGAATAATCTATGAATCAATCCTCCATACCAGGTTTAACATATGCCAATTGATTTACTAAACATAAAGGAAAGTTTGATGCAATATGCTCTCATTATGGTTATTCACGACATCCTGTTGATAAATGCTTTCAGCTAATTAGATGCCTTTCTGGATGGAAGGGCTCAAGAGGAAAAAGATCTGTTTCCACACCAATAATTGCCAAGAATTTCCAAAGGTTATCCACTACAAATAATAGTATTGTTTTGGAGCAAAATTCTAGCACTCCTAACATTGTTTTTTCTTAAAAGCAAATCCAAAATCTGCTCACTCTTGCGAATAGCATTTCCAACTCAAACTTAACCTCTACTGCTAATGTTCATCTACATCAAATATGTCTTTTTTCTTTTCATACTGTTTTTTCATCACAGAATCAATTCACTTAGTTTCTTGATATAGGAGCAATAGATCATATGATCTGTAGTCCTTTTCTTTTTTATTCAAATGTTTTTCCTAGAACCCCTTCAAAGGTTCATTTACCAAATGGTCAAACGATTCCAATTGTTTTTACTAGAACTGTTAAATTTTCTCCTGATATTGTTTTATATAATGCTCTTTATGCTCCATCCTTCAATGCCAATCTTATTTTTGTCTCTAAATTAACTACTGATAATTCTGTTGGATTTTTTTTTTCAAACAAAATATATCTTGTAGGATCTAAGCAAATGGAGGATAATTGTGCATGTTGAAGTTCAATCTGGCCTATGCCATCTTCGTAAACCTTTTGCTCAATCTAATATTGAATTCCTTCCTGGTTCCATTAGCTTGCCTTCTATTTCAATAGTCAGATCATGTATGGTTGTCTTTGATCTTTGGTATTTTTTAGGTCATATCCCAACTTCAAAAATTAATCTCCTAAGTAGTTCTGATTCTTTTATAACGGTTACTCGCAATTTTGTCCGTAAGATCTATTCTCTAGATAAGCAAGCTTTTCAATTAGTTCGCGTAGATATTTAGGGACTTTTTTATGTTCCTTCACACTCTGGTTATAGAATCTTTCTTACCATTGTTGATGATTATATTAGATTGATCTGGTTATTTTTAATGAAATCCAAATAAAAAACTAGAGCTATTCTTACCAACTTTCTAGCTTATGTTTATACTCAATTCAACATTAATATTCACTTTTAGATTAACTAATGGACAAGAGTATAATATGCCTATTTTTTTTATCAAGAGCATGACATTATCCATCAATTATCTTGTGTTGAATACCTGAACAAAATAGAAGGGTTGAGAAAAAACATCAACACCTATTGAATGTAGTCAGATCTCTAATGTTTCAATCCAAACTTCCTTTACCCTATTGGACAAATTGCATTCTTATAGCCACTCATTTGATAAATTGGACTTCTTTATCCATTCTTAATAATCAAACACCATATCATTTTTTGTTTCAAAAACCACCAACTTACGATTATTTCAAAGTGTTTAGTTGTATATGCTTTGCTAGTACAATCATAAGCAACCGAGGCAAAATTCAATCACAATCCACAAAATATATTTTTCTTGGTTATCCTCTACGCATAAAAAGGTACAAAGGTCCTTGACTTATCAACTCTCGAAACCTTTGTCTCATGAAATGTAGTTTTTCATGAATTTACATTTCCATATATTCCAAATATAATTCATATACCTTTTATGTTTCCAGATTTTCCTTAAACCTATGTTTCTATCCCTTGTATCCTAGCTAAACCAGTTTCTCAAAACTCTATTCCTCCTATAAATTTACCTTTAGTAAATTCTGTTCCTGAACTTTCTTCTTTTGAAAATAATAATGCTCCTAGAAGGTCTGAAAGAATTAAGCATTTACCTAATTATTTGAAACAATATTATTGTGGTAATATGACTCAGATTCCTTTAGCAAATGCAGCATCTTCTGGTTGCTCTTTCTCTGGTAAGCCCTATTCTATATTCTCCTTCTTGCCTGATTTCATATTGTCTTTTAAACACAAAGCTTTCACTTCTGTTATTTCGTTTATTTTTGAACTAAAGTCTTACAAATAAGCCAACTCTAATAATATGAGAAACTGTACAGAAACAATCTGTGCAGAAGAGAAATGTGAACTCGAGTGAAGAAATATATGTTCTGTTTGAAAAGCAGATTTCATTTCTTTTGATATATTTCACATCGTTGTTTACAAACTTAGACTTTCTGGTATATAACTAACTTTAATATGTTATAACTAACTAATAATCTGTTACGACTAACTCTAACTACTAACCAAAGTCTAATTAGCTACAGACTTTTAACTCCATTATATTAATAGTATTCTATATATTCCAATAGATATACACGACGTTGTGGGTTTGATCATTTTTTTAACAAAAAAAGAAACATTTAGGTATTGCTAATGTTTTTCTAATAGAAATAAAATCAAATTGTGTGAAGATTAACTTAATGTGACCTAATCTACTTGATGAGTTCAAAAAATAACTTGAACTACTGGTAAAAATATAGTTTGACTCATAAAAATTTAAGACATCTTTTTTTAAAAAACTATTAAAACGACAACATATTGGATCAATGCAGGTCAACTTGCCAAATTCATGACCTAGATCATGAGATCATGATAGCCTGATATAAAACAAATTATAAAACTCAATACCAAATAAACCTAATTTTGAAGAACAAAATTAAAAAAAAAAAACGACATGAGTTAACTTATCAAATTCATGACCCGAGTTATAAAATAGAGATAACCTTATAAAAAATAAACAAAAAAAAAGACTTGAGTTAACTTCGATTAACCTGCCAAAATCAAAACCCGAGTTATAAAATTAGGATAACATTATAGAAAATAAATAAAACAATTATGAAACTCAATTCCTAATAAACCCATTATTAAAGGATGAAGATGGAAAAAATTCAATCTAAAAATAAAAGACATTAAAATGACCTCATTCTACCAGGGTTAACCCAAAAAACATGTGACTTGAGTCATGAAACTAGAATAACCTCATAAAAAATAAAACAAAACATATCATGAAGTTTAATTCTTAATCATAATGAGTGATGAATTGCTAAAACAAATCAATAAAAAAAATTAAAAAAACTTGAGTTAACCGTGTTAACCTTCTAGACTCGTGACATGAGTCATGAGATCGAGATAACCTCATAGAAAGTTAATTGAAATAAATTTTATTTTTGACATTAGCATGTTAAAATTATCTAAAAACACAACAAAATTTAATATGAAACAAAACAAAAAAAATTCAATTTTTTTTTAAATGTGCAACATGGCCACGTAAACAAACACACTCAAAATTGACCAAATAAAATGAAAATATTAATAGATTTAAAATTGTAAGGACTCCTCTCGAGATGAAGTTTATAAAGATAACTTAAAAAAAAAAAAGAATACAAGACTTTTATGAATAAGAAAGGAGGTTTTGTACAATCTGTCTTAGTAGTTGAGAAAATATAAGGTATCTTTATTGTTATGTCTTTCAAGAGAACTAGTAAAAGACTATTGTAACTCCCGAGTAAATTCTTGTATTTTGGTTTACAAAAAAAAAGAAGGGCAAACATATATATATATGTATGTATGTATGTATGTATAAGTTAATGGAGTGGAAATTATTATCTAATAAGGTGAATGTGGGACAAGGATTAAATTGAACAAGTCAAACTTTTAGGCCAAATGGTTTTAAAACAAAATAAGGAAGGACTTAAATGAAAAAGGAGGAAAAACTTGTAAATATATAAACAAGTGGGGTGTGGAATATAAGGAGGATGTGGTCGGCCATGTTAGGGCTTGAGAAGGAAGAGAATTGAGTGAAATTTATTAAAGTTCATCCAAAATAAATTCACAAAAAAAGAAGAAGATAGAATTAGTGATTAAAGTTTATTAGGAAGGGTTTGAATAAGAAAATCTCAAAAGGGGAATAAAAGATCTTTTTTATTAAAGAGGGAAGGCATTAAGAGAAAAATAAGAGGGAAGGAGGAAAGAAATTTATGTGGTGATTTCAAGTTTTCCATCTCTTATTTCTTTGAATTAAAAGGTAACAAATCTTTTCCTCTTAATTAAATTGATATATTTAGTATGTTAAGATTTTATTCAATTATATTAGTGATGAGTTAATATTGTTAAGTGATAATTAAATGAGTTATGTGGTAATATTGATGATGAAGGATTTATATTAATAATGAATAAATATTATTGAGTGATAATTAAGTGAGTTATATGGTAATATTGATGATAATTAAGTGAGTTACGTGGTAATATTGATGATGAAGAAATTATATTAGTGATGAGTTGATATTGTTGAGTGATAGTTAAATGAGTTATACGATAATATTGATGATAAAGAAATTATATTAG